ATCGCCAAACCATCTTTAATGTGTCGTAGCCCTTGTGATCACTCGAAATACATTTCGGGCATGTTGCAAGATCTGGCCACGACAAATATTTTATGGGTCTCCCACGACAAAATTTCGTACGATCTGTTGTGACCCGGGCAGCCACGACAGCAGCACGACCACGACAAGATCGGTAGCTGCACGCTGACCTGGCGCGCTTCCTATCGGAGACATGGCAGTCAACGCCGCACCACATAGACTCATTGAGTGAACAGGGGGCTAGGTATACGCACCGCACGCCGGAGCACATGTCTTCCTGGTCACTGTGTCTCGTTTCACACAGTTGTATTTCAGCCTGTTCTGCTAGCATCTATGAGAAATACGACATACGCATATACGCTCTCCTATGACAAATAGTGTCATAGGAAAGCGTATATGCGTATGTCGTATTTGTCATAGGAAGATTCTTCCTATGACAAATAGTGTCATAGGAGAGCGTATATGCGTATGTCGTATTTGTCATAGATGTAAGCAGAACATGTTGCAGCCGTATTTTCACCTTTTAACGTTATTTTGATAAGATAAATGTTTGACGGCCATCAGACACGTTCAACAACCGTCCTGCGATGCTTTTCTTTGTTGAATATTACGGCATAGACTGTTCACCGTCAACGATCACGAACCATGAGCATCTTACATTGATCCGACCAACTGTACGTTCCTCGGCTCCTTCCTAGCGGTTGGCGAAAAGAGAATCCAGCTTCTCTAGACGCGGAAAAATGTCTGAGTGGCTACACATAGGGTCACCAGACTTGTATAAGTATACTGCGAGTAGGGGGGGGGGGTCACATAATTAGGGCTCGTTAATGGTGACACGGGGATTCCCTCACAGATCTGCAGTAAATAGCAATTAGCTAGGTAACTACGGCAGGGCTCTTCATCGATTTTCGCAAATGTTAGCAGGTGTTGTTATGATCATTATGAGTAGCAAATAACGCGCACACCGTCGAGTAATCGGCAATTTGGGAAATCTGTGACAACTAACCAGTCGACCTCCTCTTACTGACTAATTTATTTTCGCCGAACAACGCCGCACTTGTGGCGCCGGTGGTTGCATTAAAAACCAGAGAGCGAACAGAGCGAAGCGGATTTCTCCCCGGATCCGGATTTGTTGTTATAGCAACGAACTGCGCAGCACATTATGCGGGCCCTAATCAGCGAAATACCATTACTTTCTCCATTCTTTCTGCTGATATTCTTTTACGTTTTTGCTCGAGAGGCTTCCTTAAGCAGAGTTCTGAAGTGCCGACGAGGGGTGGCGGAGAGTGTACTTGTAACAATACAGTGTGTTAAAATATAGAACGTGTGCGGGCAGAAATAATGGCGTACTGGTGACGAGCAATGTTTACAGGGATGATAGCCAGTAGGCCCCTATAGACACTGCTTCGGGCGATATGTATGATTAAATTCCTATGGTGTTGGTAATAGCAGGATCGTATATCCGCCGCATGGGGCAGGAACAGGGGGCAGTACGCCTATAAGATATGCCTACGTAAATATGATTAATGTTAATGTAAATGTAATGAATCATAGAAATAAATAAATCATGATAGAATCCTAATAAAATGATTTCTTCCGTCGACTACTATCATACACGTGGGTTAGCTGAATGCAGAACCTCTTTAGTCTTTATTGCTTACAGTTAGGTCACAAGATTTACTGACGCCTCTAGAAATATTCAGCTAGGTTACCACTAATAGGTACTAAACTTTATTGATTACAAGGCGCCAACTCTTCCTGAGTTACGGAGCAGTCTGTTACAATAGACATCTAAAAAAATATTTCACCAATTTTTGGTTATTTTTCTAATATCTGGCACACCAATAATTTTACATCAGCATTAGCAATAAGGACAGTTGCTGTTCCGTGGAAACACAATAAACACATGATGAATCAAATACGTGCGACAATAAACCACAAAGTCTAAACCCATTTCCCTCCAGTGACGAGAGGGATTCTGTGTAGCTGATGCACCATTACAATCTATTATAAATTATATCAAGATATCAATATATTACTATAATATATCAATATATTATTATTATTATTTATTATAAATTATTATCAATCTATGATCACTTATATCATTTTTCAGGATTAGCAGCATACGCACCTCACTCTTCATATTTATTATATTTATGTTATATTTTCTTTTCGGCAGGTGGTGCCTACATGGTGGTGTCGGGCTGTCCCACTCGTAACGGCTCGAAGCATGCCAGTGAGATCGCCTCCATGGCTCTCGATCTCATGACAGTCATTGAAAACATCCCCGTACCACAAAACATTGACGCCATCCTCCAGCTGAGAGCTGGAATCCATTCAGGTGTGGACGAATGCTTGATGTGTGTGTGTGTGTGTGTGTGTGTGTGTGTGTGTGTGTGTGTGTGTGTGTGTGTCACACACACACACACACACACACACACACACACACACACACACACACACACAAACAACCATATTCAGACAAAAACAGACAAACTGGTTCAGGAAGCAGCTAAAGTCGGGTTGAAATTCAACATTACGAAAATAAAGTCCATGAGGATAAACGCACAAAATGTGGACGCAGTTACCGTCGAAGGAAAGGAAATTGAGGAAGACGTTCACATACTTAGGTAGCGCTCTGGACAAAAACGAAGGGGTCGAGAAAGATGTCAAGGACAGAATAGGGAAGGCAACGGGCGCCTTCAAATTGTTCAACAACATTTGGAAAACAAGCACCATCACCCTCAAAACTAAATTAAAAACATTCAACTCTAATGTTCAGACCGTCCTCATGTATGGCTGTGAAACATGGAAACTAACAGCCCAAATAACTCCCAAAAAAATTGTTAACAAATGCGTGAGAAAGATCCTCAGAATGTTTTGGTCTACACAAAACACCCATCACAAATAAGGAACTCTGGAAGAGGACGAAGCAGGCCCCAATGGAAACCCAAATCAGAAGAAAGAAGTAGGGATGGGTGGGCCACACGCTGCAGAAAGAAGCGACCGACACAACACGCTCGACGCTGAGCTGGCACCCGCAAGGAAGACGTCGGGAGGAAAGACCTCAAGTAACCTGGAGGCGAGACTGAGAGGTTGAACTTAAGAAGAAGGGCTACATCTGGAGGGAAATGGAGCGGAAGGCGACCAACCGACCGACATGGAGGAAGTTCACCAATGACCTGTGTCTCCCAGGAGACTGAAAGATCTAAGAAAAGAAGAAGAAGAAGAAGGTCGCACAGCTCTGTGGGCAACATTGAATCTTCCGCGTGCAATATTGGATTTATTTCATGGCACGTTACATACTCAGCACCAATTACCAGTATACTTCGCAGCCATATACCAGTATAATTTATACATTTTAATACATTATTTAATTACAATATTAATTCTTACCATATTTTAAGCAAATAATCGCAAAACAATAATTATTAAAATATCTTTACACTGAATCCTGTCCAATGAATGTAGCAGTCACCCTGTCTACTTCTATTAGATATCAAAGCTTATTATAGTCACATAGATATGATAAGATTCCAGGTAAATATCTGTGGTGGCCTTATTAGGGGCTACGGATAGTTATTTATTACTGTAATAAAGCAGCACACATCGTTACAATAATCAGCCGAGCCACAATAATCACCTATTTTGACTACCTGAAGATTGTACGAGTATTTACTCTGTCCTGTATCCTCCTGTGCTAGATTTATATCGAAGTTAATGTCGTTCTCGCGTTACAAGTTATAGAGACGAATATTTCAAGTAGAACCACATGGGCGTAGCCAGGGACGATTCCAGGCATTCCGGAATTCCCCCTGGTTTGTATCAAAATAGCACATATCTGATACAGTATGTATATAAAAGCATGAAACGAAAATGTTAACGAAGTTTTATTAGTATACTATCTGCGGGTACCCGCTGCACTGGTTAAAATCGTGCTACTAATTCATACTACTAATAATGGGACACAATAGGAACATTGGGTAAAAATCGACAATAACATTGCACACAATATCAATATTTACAAATCAGTCTAATAAGATAATAAGCATGGGAAAAAACTGTTACGTATGACATTTATATGACAGCACAACCCAACTTAGAACCCCTGGGACATAATAGTAATATGGTGTAAATGACAAAAGGTTATTATAACAGCATGTACGAATGGGTTGCACTTTTCATTTCCAAGCCTCTTGATAAACAATGTTTTTCGTGTTATTCTCTGGTGCAAATATGTAGAGATTCCTGGCGTGTCCAACTCTTGAGCTCCCCACGTACATCCCACATCCATTGTGAGATCGTACCATGAATAAAAGAAATTCCATATATAGTATAGATAGAGACAGGCCAGCGAGTGGGGTCTGTGTCCACTGGATATTGTTTAGTGAATGCTTGGTGAAATTAATAAAAAAATTTACTGAATCAGAAAATGCATAGCTTTCGAATGGTACAATGCATTCTGAGATCGTAGCATCTGAACTAAACCTCTCAACTCAGTGAGTAGTACCTCTGAACTGGTCCTGGTTGTGGTCTGTTTTAGTATTGGTTTCGGTTTCACAATAGCAGCAGCTGATGAGGGGAGGGAAAGAAATAGTCATCGATTTTTCTGTGTGTGGCAGCACTGTACAGTTAGTGGTGACATTGTGTGAAGTTTCACGAATTCACGGATTTTTCACAGATTTTTCCGTGAGTTTCACGGTTTGACAGATTTTTTTCGTCTAGGAACAGTACTCCCCATGTATAGGAAATCGCCCTCTGAAAATTGCATCCAAATCGCTTGGGCGGTTT